ACACTCTCTTCGCCTCTCCAATTCTCTCATTCCTTCATTCTCTTACAACCTCTTTTGTCCTCGCTTCTTCCCTATTTCTTTAGCTTCTCAAGGGGTGCTAGACTAGCGTTCCTCCTGGCACTCGCCGTAATTAAATCTTTGTGCAGGTAACTGTGCCACGGGATCCGCCATTACACCTGGGTGTTGGCTGAGGCTTTCCCCCTCCTCACCCTTCCCCTCCCCTCCCCCTTCGCCTTTTCTCTATCTCTCTCTCTCTCTCTCTCTCTCTCTCTCCTCTCTCTCTCTCTCTCTCTCTCTCTCTCTCTCTTTCTCTCACGCACCACATGTACATACTCTCTTTCTCTCATCTTACATTATCCCATTATTTCCCTCTCTCTTTCTCTCTCTTCCTCCTCTCTCTCTCTCTCTCTTCTCTCTCTCTCTCTTCTCTCTCTCTCTCTCTCTCTCTCTCTCTCTCTCTCTCTCCACTAAAAGTTTCCTTTTCCCTTTCCTTCACACTTCGCACCTCATCCTTTGTTGATCTTTTGTATTCCTCTCTTTTTGTCTCCTTCTTCTCCTCCTCCCTCTTTCCAAATGCCCCGAGGGTGTGTGTCCCTCCACCTCCCTATCATCGTGTGTGTCTTTCTCCCCTCTTCTCCCCTCGCCGTCAGCTAGTTAATGATAGAGGCACGTACCTGCGTTCGTCCTAGGGTTGGGGGGGGGTAGGATCCTAGGCCGGGCGGTGTGGTTAGGAAGGGGGAAGGATAGGGTCCTTGGCTAGGCGGGAGGGATAGGGATAGAAGGATAGGGTCCTAGGCTGGAGGGGGTGGAAGGGGAGAGGGAGGGTCCTAGGCTGGGTGTGTGGGATGGGAAGGGGGGAGGGGCAGGGTTTCTCCTAAACACTCGCTTATTAATTTAAAGGAAGATTAAATGGAGCTAAGCCCTCTAAAACGACCGCCTTCCTGCACTGGTTGCGCTGCGCTTTCGCTTCTCTGTCTCCTCTCTCTCTCCTTCTCTCTTTCTCTATTGCTTCATTCTCTTCCACTCTGGCTTTCTCTATATCTGTGTTGTGACGTTTGTTTAGTTTCTCAGCTGTGATTTGTATTTCCTTTTCTCTCTTTCTCCACCCACCCACATTCTCTCTTTGTCTCTGTCTCTGTCAATCTTCTCTCTCTCTCTTCTCTCCTTTCTTTCTCCACCCCCCACATTCTCTCTCTCTCTCTCTCTTTCTCCACCCACCCACATTCTCTCTCTGTCTCTGTCAGTCTCTCTCTCTTTCTCTCTCTTTCTCCACCCACCTACATTCTTTCTGTCTCTCTGTCTCTGTCAATCTCTCTCTCTCTCTCTCTTTCTCCACCCACATTTCCTCTGTCTCTCTGTCTATGCCTCTGTCATTCTCTCTCTCTCTGTCTATGTATGTCCTGTGTACGTTATTAAAAATGTACGTGAATTTGCATGTATGTTTCTCCCTTATCCGTATCTTGACCATCGCCACTTGGTTTCCGCGTTGGCACTGATCTCCATCTCCCTTGCGCCAAGTTTATTCACATTATCCTTGTATGCCAATCAAAATTTCATTTGATCTTCCTTTCATGCCTCGAAACGCCCCTCCCTCCCTCCCCCCCTTACCCTCTGCAATCCACCCCCCTCCCTTATTCCCTCCCTCTCCCCCTCACGCAATCCACCCCCTCCTTCCCTCCCTCTACCCCCCTCACGCACCCCCCCCCTTCCTTCCCTCCCCTCTACCCCCTTCCCCCCTCCTTCCCCCTCTCCCTCCCCTCTTCCCTCCCTTACCCTCACGCAATCCACTCCCCTCTAACCCACCCCTCCCCTCTTCACCCTAAGACTGTCCTTACATAATCCAAGAGTCACCTCCCAGTCGCACGCGCCCACCCACCCACTTATCCACCCGCCCATCCACCCACCCGCCCACCGCCCACCTCCACCCGATCCACCCGCCCGCCCGCCCGCCCCCCACCCACTCTCTGCGGGTTGCTCTGGTATTCCACGTGAGAAGCTGGCGTAATATGCGCTAATGCCCGACGAAAAGCGGTAAATGCGTCGCGGCCAGAAGCAGGCAGTAGAGGTGGTAGAGAGGGAGAAGAGGCAGGAGAGAGGGGGGGAGAGTATAGTGGAAGGAGAAGCAGGGTAGAGGTGGCGGGTGGAGGGGGGGGGAGAGGGGGAGGTTATAGGTGGAAGGAGGAGGAGGATGGAGGTGGAGGAGGAGGGAAGGAGGTGAAAGGAGGAAGGAAGGAAGGAGTGGAGGAGGGGAATAGGGAGGAGGGAAAAGAGTGAAAGGAGGGGAGAGAAAAAGAGAGGGGTAAGGTGGAGAGAGAAAAGGGAGGAGGGAAGAGGAGGAGGAGAAGGAGAGGGGAAAGAAAGGCGGTGGAAGGAGGGAGGAAAGGATATTGTGGAGGGTTGGATAAGGAGGAGGGGAGGAGGAAGAGAGAGATGAGAGGAGAGGTATGGTGGAGGGAGGGAGGAGGTAAGAAAGAGGAGGAAAGAGGAGAGTGGAGAAGGTGTTAAAGGGAAGGAGGGTGTTGAGGAAGAAGGGAGAAGGGCAGACAGGAAGGATACGAGAGGAAGAAGAGGTAGGAGAAAGAGAGAAAAGTGGAAGTTGGAAGTGAAAGGTGGATAAAGGGAGGAACACGAAAAAAATGGGGGAAGACGGAGGAGGCGAAAGAAGGAAAAGAGAGAAACGAAAGGAGGAGGAGAGTGGAAGACGAAGAATCATGGAAGTGGAAGGAAAGAGTAGGCAAGAGGGGGGGGGAGTGGAAGGAGGAGGTAAAAGGGGAGGAGGAGGGAGGAGGAGGAGGGAGGGGGAGAGAGGCGAGGCATTAAGAGCACAATGGTGGTTCTCTACCTTTTTTTCCATCAGGCTGATATCAAGTCAGGGGGACTTTTCCGAACGGATTTCAAAATATACTTATCTTTATACAAGGAAATGTTGTGCATATATATATATATATATATATATATATATATATATATATATATATATATATATATATATATATATATATATATATACTATATATGTATTGTGTATATATATATATATATATATATATATATATATATATATATATATATATATATATATATATATATATATATATATATATATATATATAGTATATATATATATATACACACACACAACATTGTGTGTGTGGTGTGCATGTGTGTATGTATGTATATACACACACTATTAATCTATTATTATCATTTTTTGCATGTGCATATGAATACACATACGCTTATGTGTATATGTATTTGCTTCCGCGTGTGCCTCTTTTCCCTTTTTCTTCTTTTTCTCCATCTTCATCAAACTGCAGCTCCCCTTCTTCCCCGTTCTCATTTTCTTTTCTTTCCCCTTTTGCCAAAGTTGGCCCCGCGCTGTGAGCATCTCTTCTGGAGCCGCTTCGGAGAAAAGTTGGGAGGTTGTTCCCGAAATCTAACACTTCCGGAAAATTGTATGATGAGTCCGTTACAGTTTTTGACAATCGCTGCATCCTTTGCTCCTTCTCTACTGTCGGCGTAAGATGGATGGAACGCGAGAGGAGAATGAAAGGGGGGAAAAGGGGAGAAGGAGAATGTGATGATTTGTTTTGTGTCTGGTGAGAAAAGGAGATTCCTGAAGAGGTTACTGATTTGCTGAGTATTTTAGTTAACCTCAGAAATCCCTTTTCTTACTCTATCATTAAGGAGGATAACTTAGTTCTGTGTCTACCAGAAGAGTAAGGAAGCTCCTTCGTGTGGCGTTGGTGTTGCTGTGTGTGTGTGTGTGTGTGTGTGTGTGTTGTGTGTTGTGTGTGTATATATATATATTAATATATAATATATATATATATATATATATATATATATATATATATATATATATATATATATATAATATAATATAATACAGAGTGTCTGCATCACCACATTCACGGTCGGATAAACACAGTATGTATATTATTAGCTACTTGGTATGTACTTGGCATCAAAACCAAAACAAATATTCCACAACAACGCCCCCTATATCGCGCCGTTAAACCTCTGTAAACCTCCGTTGAGCTACAACCCGAGTGATGCAACCAACAACATTCTAAAAAAGCTTAGCCGATGCACTCACAGTTAGCCAAATGCGGAAGTATGTTGCCCGCGTTGAGTCGGAAATGCGTCGATCCCATGGCAGGTGTTGCAATGGGATGGCAGACGACTGGGCTTTATAAAGTTGTCAACACAGCTTTGTTATTTCTGCTGTGATTCGTAGTGCAATGTGCGATTTTCTTTTTTTTTTTTTTTTTACATTGTATTTGATATTCAGTGGTTTAACTTTCACCTTGCAGCCTCACTGTTTCCCCGCCATCTCTCCCATTTGCACACATATACTCCGTCTTGTTCCTACTTACTTTCATTCCCCTTCTCCCATGTGCATATCTCCTCAACTTCCTCTCGCCTCTCACCGCATAACACAATGTCGTCCGCAAACATCATCGTCCACGGAGATTCCCGTCTAATCCTATCTGTCAATATATCCATCCCATTACAAACAGGAAAGGACTCAAAGTCGATCCTTGGTGCAAACCCACCTCCACCTTGGATCCCTCAGTCATCCCTGCTGCACACCTTACTGCTGTTTCGCTCTCGTCATATATATCCTTTACCACCTTCACATACTTCTCTGCCACTCCTGACATCCGTACACAATGCCACAACTCCTCTGTCGGCATCCTGTCATAAGCCTTCACTAAGTCTACAAACACGCAGTGCGAATCCTTCTGGCCTTCTCTGCACTTCTCCATCAACATTCTCAAAGCAAATATTGCATCTGTTGCACCTCTTCCTGGCACGAAACTATATGGTTCCTCAATGATCCTCACCTCTCTTCTCAGTCAACCTTTTATCACTTTTTCCCATATCTTCATTGCAAGATTAATCAGTCCTATACCTCTGCAGTTGTTACAGGTCTGCAGATCACCCCTGTTCTTGAAAATCGGAACTAGCACTCTATTTCTCCACTCTTCCGGCAT